CTCTTTATTCATTAAGGAATATGGGTGGGTTTTAATTCATGACTTATCTTCCCCCGCAGCGTGTTAATTCCATTGTAGAGGTGTTTTTCATAAACAAGCAGGATTCTGACTTTAATTTGGAAACTCCGCTGACTTTTTCAGTTTCACCACGTCTGTCTGTTCTGTTTCAAGCTGGTTTGAGTAAAGGAATCTTGTATTCTGGGAGGGGACCAACTCCAGCATGTGTACACTAGGTTTTGGTTTTCTACTGCTATTTCTGGGGACAGTTCCTGGAGATAACGGTGATGAATCATCAGTTAATACCTGTCAAATCCAGGTAGTCACACGGAATCCTTCAACACGCACACGTATAGATTCCCTTCTTGTTCTTCGGCATCTGAATCCTATTAACAGCTGTCAAAACCTGGTAAACTATTTATATGCTTCCACAATTTGTTTAATTGGGTAGTTAGGAAATGGCATACAGGAAAAGCTTTTCTTTTTTCTTTTTTCTTTTTATTTTTTTTCCCTTTAGTCTGGCTGAACATCTGTAGCATTAGGGGCTCATTATCTCTGAATTGGCATAGCAAATCAGCAGCATCATTAAAGTGCCACATTAAGATGATTAAGTTTCTTTGTTATCCAGTTGACTTTTTGCATGTGCTGAGGATTTCATGATTATGACCCCGCTTCCTTGTAAAACACTTGAGCAACATCACCCTTTTCTGCCGTTTGTCTTTAATAGCTTCTGGTTTTTTATTCTTTGTGCTTTTCATAACACTCCTGGTAAACTTTGCTTAACAACAGGACAAAACTTACGTTCTTTTCTCCATAATTGATGCCAAGGTCTTGGATTAAATATAGTAATTGGGGGGTTTTCCTTCAGAGACCTCCTCCTAGAGAAAATAGCTAAGATAACACTCCAGCTTGTCCTAATTGTCCTGCTGCTATTGACTTCTTTCCTTATTCATGCGTTTGAGAACATACACAAACACTGTTCATGTGGTGACTCAGTCTGAAGTTGCTACCACAGCTTTATTTTGGATTTTTTCCAGAACCCATTGTTTTTACAGTGTTTCAGGTGAAACAAAAATATTACTCTGGAGTATGTCTTTCATCTTGTAATCATCTCCTCAGGAAATGAAACCATGTGCATCAGCCTTAACGCATCACCCTGGTACTTTGTTGTGTAAAATCGACATTTTTTTTCTGCAGTGTATATTACCTTTGTGAACTGCTTGAAGAAAAATAGTTACCTGGGTTGGACACCATGAATGTTTTTTTTTCCTCTTACAACTTCTTTACTTTCCTAAGCATAGAAGAGGTGATAGCACTTCTTTTTTTTTTTTCAACAGGGGGAACTTTGTTAGTGTTGTTAGGGATAATTGTGTCTTTCCTCAATTAAATTTCCCTTTTTTTACTTGAAGTTACAGCCGCCTTCCTCTTGGTTAAGACAGACCAGCCTGGAAATTCCCTAATATCATTAAAATATGTTGATATGATTTTTCAAGTGACAGATACAAACCTTTCTACGCAGCTGCCAATCTCCTGATCTCACAGTATTCCCTGTGCATGCCAGTACACAGAGCAGAAGTCAGGACTGAAAAAGGAATTGGGTTGCTTGCAACCACTTGGTAAACTTTAGGCTGACCTGCACTGAACCTCAGACTGCTTTGCACCAAAGCTTTCTCCTGTATTGCTGTCAGGAAGGTAGAGTGGACTCTAAACAATAACAAGTGTGTTAGGACAGAAAAATTCCAATTCTTCTGACATTTATTTGGTTAAAAAAAAGCCTTTTCCCTAGTGCCTTCTGCTATCTGTGGTTCTCAGTCATCAGAAGGTGAATTTTTCCGTTGAGGTTCTTCAGATGCCTACATGCAAACTGCAGAGCACTCAAGCTTTGATGGGATGTCACCGACAGCTGGAGCGATGATGTTTGCTGGGGAGGGGCAGTGGTGGAAAAGCCTCGATCAGAACTCAGGTGCATCCTTCTCTCTTACTGGAAGAAAACCCAAGTCTTGCAAAGCAGTCAGCGTGCAGTATGGAAAATGCAGAGGTGATTATTTTCCACGGTGGAAGCACAGGATGGCCTGCCCAGTTTGTGCCAGTCAGAGAGCACTTGCCATAGAATCATAGAATCACAGACTGGTTTGGGTTGGAAGGGACCTTAAAGCTCATCCAGTCCCAACCCCCCTGCCAGCAGCAGGGACACCTTCCACTAGACCCGGTTGCTCAAAGCCTCATCCAACCTGGCCTTCAACACTTCCAGGGAGGAGCAGCCACAGCTTCTCTGGGCAACCTGTTCCAGTGTCTCACCACCCTCACAGTGAAGAACTTCTTCCTAATATCTCATCCAAACCTCCCCTCTTTCAGCTTAAACCCATTTCCCCTTGTTCTGTCATTAACTGCCCTTATGAAAAGTCCTTCCCCAGCTTCCTGGAGCCCCTTCAGGTACTGGGAGGCCGCTATAAGATCTCCCCGGAGCCTTCTCTTCTCCAGGCTGAACAGCCCCAACTCTCTCAGCCTGTCCTCACAGCAGAGCTGCTCCAGCCCTCGCATCATCCTGGTGGCCTTCTCTGGACTTGTTCTAACTGCTCCAGGTCTCTCTTGTGATGGGGGCTCCAGAACCATGGGGAACTCAAAACACTGTTCGTGCTATGCTACTCCGTAAAAGAGTGAAAAGCTGTGAGCCATGAACTTGTGGTGAGAAATAGTAGAAAACAGTAGAGAAATCTCAGTTGGAGGTTACAACTGGTCCTCCACTGCTGTGCAATTGCATTTGATGCAGACGAAAGGTGAGACGTTAAGTAGAAAGTGGGAATTGAAATTGTTTCTGAAAGTATCAACAAGGTGCAGCTGCAGCGTGTACTTCCTTTTACCATGCTCTGCAGGATGTAGCAAATTATTTTGGAGCTGCCTTCTTTTGAGGGGAGGGGGGAAAAAACAACCAGCAACCAAAAAACACCCCTTCTTTTCATTCTTTCTTTCTTTTTGGAAAAGAGATTCTGTTGAGAGCTTCTTTCAGCAACTAGCAATAATTTTTCCTCAGAGTGATGGAAATGGATGTTTAAACTAATTTTGAAGGAGTCTTGATAGCAGGTTCACACCTGCAGACGTGAAGTTTGCACCCTCAGACATGAAGCTGGCAGCAGAAGGTACTGGCAGAGGAAACCTGGTTTCAGTGGAAGTAGGAATCCCAAGAATGTGCAGCAGAGCTGAAACTGAAGGAACAGCAGGGAAGAGTGTCCCATTTGTAGGTGAATCTAGACCTCCCTGTGACCTGTGATCAAGCACCTGCACCTCCCTGAGCTCTCCTGGGGCCAGGGCAATCAGTCCCAACACCAAACTCTAAAAACCATCTTGGATAGGGGGATAAAACCACACAATATGGAGAAGAAAGCCATCCTTCTGTGGAGACCATCATCCAGGGAGAGCACCAATGGGAATCGTGGAGTTTTCCACAGTACTGTGGGTTCTTGTGTAGGATGAAGAAATTATCACCCACCTGTTTCTTCCACCTCACTCCAACCCAAAGTACAACAGGTTGGCTGGCCTTAGTGCAAACATTTAGGATAGGGGAATGATTTTATCACTAAACTATAGTTGAAAATTCCGATTTAATGAAAGGTTTAGTTGCCAGATCTTTATTTTTCAGTGTTGCTTTTATGTTGCCACCTCATTTTTGCTGTCACCCATTGTTTGTTCTCGGCATTTGATGTGGTTTATTACTCAGAACCAGAGCTAATACATATTCAGCAGTCCATGGTCTGTACTTTGGAGAAAGGACAAGTGATTCAGTGCCATATTTAACTGTCTAACCCTCAGTTTGAGAGAGGACCAGGTGGCCATGAGAACAATACTTTCAAACAGGAAACTGTATTTCATCTCTTGATGCTTTTCATCACTTGGTAGCTTGAGGCATAACTCAGGTTTCAGCCATAGCCTAGCTCTTGTCTAGATGGAAAAGTTGACTTTAAGTAGAAAAATACTGTCCTGGCAATTAGTAAGGATTTTAATGCAAGTGCTGGTGATGCTGGAGTTAATAGTGGAAAGGAAATTCAGCAGCAGAAGTTGTGAATCATCAGCTGTTTATATAGTGTGACCAATTTGCTTTTATTTTTACATAGGAGTGTTGTTGTTAGTAAATTATTAGCTACTTGTTACGTTCTCCTCTTGTCATGAAATCACATTCAGTTCAGGCAATGCCTTTGGTTTTCTCTGGACAAGGCTAGAGGTGCAGGAACCTACTCAGAGGCCATGGATGCTGATCTCCCTGAGTCTTTGGTTTCTTTGCCACACACTCATGATAGGATTTTGGACAAATCTTTTAACATTTTGTGGTTACAGTTCCAGAAAAGCTTTACTCTGCCTCTGCTCCTTTTACTCATTAGTGACCTCATGATACAGGTGTGAAGATTGTCAGATGCTCTTCACACAGTTGAGATCTTTGACTAAAAATTGCAATTTGCAAGTGAAAATTGGGATTATTGATTAGGATTAATTGATGAGAATTATATGATGGGAGTACTGCAAGTCTTGTACTGGATTAGACATATTTCTTAGGCCTGTTTCAAGCACGAGAAGTTCCATGGGAATATACAAGTATCTCTTTTAAATTTGTGTCTTTCTGTATTTTAAATTCATGGGAATGACCTGTGCCACTAGTTTCTATAGGCCAATGGTGAGTTGTGGGAATAACTATTCCTTTTGAATCGTAAATAGTACCTGTAATTGCAGAAGTTTGTACTGTATTATAGTTTTAAAATCTGTAGGACGAAATGATCCATCAAAGGTAATTAACAATCAGATCAATATTTTTAAGTTAACTCACTGTAAGTGTCATTAAGTGTTTGTGACCCATGAAGATTCATGTCTCAACTAGATTTCATCTTTGAGGAATGTGTAAGTAAAACTTCTGGGAAGATTGATAATGTAATTTTATGTAATTTTGGGGTGAGTTTTTTTTTTTTTTTCTAAGATACTTCATTGTGCCTAAGTTGAGATTTTTTTTTTTAACTTTTGTGCTTTGTTTTACCTGCAGATGATGTGGTTAAAGTGAAAGGTGAATACAGTGAAAGAGAGGAGAGTGCTTTAAATTCAGAGCCTATGGAAAATCCAGAAGAATCTGAAATGCCTTACTCCTATCCCAGAGAATACAACGACTATGAAAGCATTAAACTGGAAAGACATTCTGGTTCATATGACAACGTCAGGCCAGCTAGTGGAAAGATGAATTGTGATATCTGTGGATTAGCCTGCATTAGCCTCAATGTCTTGATGGTCCATAAGCGTAGCCACACGGGTAAATATCCCTATATTTATTATTCTTGTAAGAGCTAAATACTGAAAGGATAATAATTTGTAATCCAGACTACTTATTTTAAAAAAGGATACCAAAATTGGGATTTCCTTGTCCTGTCCTTGATGCTGCATGTGATCTCTAGCAAGTTATCCACTTTTCTGTGCCTCACTTTACCACCTTCATTCTTATAAGGATTGAATGTTAGTAAAAGCACGTTTGTGAGGCATTTTAAGAATTTGGGATGAAAGGCACTATGTCATTTAAGTATTTTGGCCACAAAACACAGGTTAGATGAGTTTTGTGCTGCCATTTCCAGGCTGTGTATGTATTTCTCTTTGTGCTATACTTTGGCAACAAATCAATGAGCATCTTAGGTTTTGACCTGCAGTAAGACTTTTTTTTTTTTTCTTCTAAAAATTGCTAGCTTGTTGGAATCAGCCTCCTCCAGAACACTTATTTCCATGGAAAAACTGCACAGTGTTTTCCACAGTTGTACATAGGTTACAAGAAGCTCTGACACCAGAGCTGCATGTAACTCCCACTGAAGTCAAGGGAAGGGCTGTGTGTGTTTCTAGAGAAATAAATCCATCCAGTATCTCATTCTTTCCCCTTCCAACAAGGAAAGGGTGTGAGGATAGCATGATACCCACGTAACCATTAAATGTCCTTTTTTGTATGTCATTTTAAGGTGAACGGCCATTCCAGTGTAATCAGTGTGGAGCTTCCTTTACTCAGAAGGGTAACCTGCTCCGCCACATTAAACTACATACAGGGGAAAAACCTTTTAAATGCCATCTTTGCAGTTATGCCTGCCAGAGGAGGGATGCGCTAACAGGTCACTTAAGGACACATTCTGGTAAGTGACTTCAAAGACACTTCATGTGTTGTAGATGTGTGTCACTAGGACACTAGATGGGGAAAATAGTGTCAGTCAGCAAAGTTTGCTCAGCTGGTCTAGTTTGGAAGAATCATAGAATAGATTGGGTTGGAAAAGACCTCCAAGATCATCAAGTCCAACCCCTGATCCAACTCTAATTACTATATCATGTCACTAAGGGCCATGTCCAATCTCTTTTTAAAAACCTCCAGGGATGGTGAATCCACCACCTCTCTGGGTAGGCCGTTCCAGGGCCTGATTACCCTCTTGAGTTGCCACATAGCAGTGACCACTCTGCCTGCTGTGCTGATGGAACCATCTCGGGACTCAGCTTCACTCTTGATGCAGAAAGAGGGCACAGGGAAAGCCACTATCACAGCTGTGTGCTGCGAGAGACAGCCAAGCTCAATACCTGCTGCACAAAATCACTCCTTGGGATTTTCAAATGAGTGGAGCTAGCTATGCCAGCCAGCTCTGCGTTTGAGGAGCAGCACCAAGATCTGCTTTGCTGGGACTTCCTTCCCTTCCTGTCCTGAGCTGTTAGGATCACTCTAGGAGCACAGTGCAGGACAGCATGACTGTTGCCAGTTAACACCTTGCTGTTGCCTAGTGCCTTTCATCTGAAGCTCTTAACATGCTCAACAAATGCCAGTGTTTTTTCTCAAGACTGGTAGGGTGTTCCATCCATTTTACAGAGGGGAGAAATGGAGGCACAGAGCTGAGGTGACTTGAACAACAAGCCAGGTATAAATTGATTCATCTTAGTTCCCCCAGCTCTACAAGAGCCATGTTGTGCTTACTCTGATTTGTGTATATCCTGTGTTACACAGGGGCCTAGAAAGAAAACGTTTATTCTAAATGATAGGTTTTTATCTCTACACTTTACAGGGGAAAAAAATGCTCAGCCTCACAAAGAATGAAAGTTAAAAAAGAGATTATCTGACATGGATGAATGAGATTCTGATTTAATCAAGACCCAGCACAGTGGTGATGACTGTCCCCCACCAACATAATTGTTGAATGTCAGGGAGACAATATTCCAGTAGCCTCTTGTGGTTATTTTATGCTGCCCTCTTGTTTTTTCCAGTGGAGAAACCATACAAATGTGAGTTTTGTGGAAGGAGCTACAAGCAAAGGAGCTCACTGGAGGAGCACAAGGAGCGGTGCCGTACTTACTTGCAGAATACTGGCATGTGCGAAACTGGTGAGTTTATCACATTACAGTGGTTTTGGTTTTTTTGGTATGTTATGATGCTTAAAAAAGCAGATCTGGTGAGCTGTTAATTCACAGCCTGTGAACACTTTTTACTACAATCATTTTCAGTAACCTGAGGGGCTGTGGCATCTTATAAAAGGGTCTGGTTTAATGTATCCCTCAGGCAATTAGTTAAAGAATGCTTTTATTTTAATCGCTTTCTTTTATTTCACAGTTACTTTGAGTAAAACATCTAAAATACCTTGTACACAGCATTTCTGTAGGTGACACTCACAGGAAGTTTAATTATTCCTACGTTAATGCCATTATGTGGATGAGTGGATGCCCATGGTTGTTGACAACAGTTGTTTACGTGACTCAGTCCATTTGATGCTTCCTTTTCTTTAGAATAAGAACTGTTGGTCAGAATCAGTTAGAGTTTGCAGAAGTTTTAGTGGTATGGAAATGGGGTGGTATCCTGAAGGTCACTGATAGATCAGGTTAGGAGGTAGTGAGAGGTAAAGGACTTCTTTAAGCATAGAACTGTCTTTGGAAAAGGCTGAAGGTAAAAGGTATCAAAACACAGTTTTTTCTCATTTTCCTTTTCACAGTCTCAGTGCTGCAGTTTTGAAAATACTTGGTGAAAAATAACAGCCATAATCTTTGAACCTGCTTCATCTGAATATTCAAATCCTAAAATGAACTCATGTGATTTCAGTCCCACAGTATGCCAGTAAGTCAGGGAAGAATTACTTTTCCCATTCAGAGTCAGGGAGTGGTTGTGACCTCCCAAAAGATTATATGACTAATCTGTAGCAGAGCTGAGGCTACAGTTTCAGAATTCAGATTCCCATTCTTTTCCTATGCAGTCTTAAAAAAAAACCAACCAAACAACAACTTTTTAAGGACTAGGTCGTTCTAGTTTTGATTGTGAATTTCAAATTGAATTTTCTTTTCAAGGAAAAGGCTGAACTGAGTTTTTCAGAGAAGAAAACTAAAATGTAAAATTTTCCTTAGAGAGATTACAATATTAACCAAGGCCCTTTAATAATAATTAATTAATTAATTAATTAAATAAAATTATTTAGTGATGTGATTATCAAGCAAAGATTCTGCACAGGCATCATCACAACCTGGGACTGAAAACCACTGTGAAGACCCGTTGATATATGATGATAACTGTGTGGGTACGAGAGTCCTTACCCTGTGCAGAGTGAGTAGGTTGGTGTACCAGCCTTTGACACATGCACACACAAAATCCACCATAAAGAAACAATGATTTAATTTACAATTTTATAGTTTTATTTGTGGGCTGTCATCTTTTCAGCAAATGACATGTTTTTGAGAACATTAGTAAAAGTAAATGGTTATCAGAACGTCAGCAAGTTTTGGTTTTCATGAGAACCCATACATATTGTAACTGTGGTTTTACGTTACAGTACGTACTCCCATGATGGCAATCACTGAGATGTCCACCACATGACAATGGAAAACATGATACCTACTATAGATTTCTGCTTTGAAATGATTCTCATGGTTTATATTCATTTCAGGCTAACTACCAACATTTCACTTATCCAGAATCTGCTAGGCAGTGCTTGCTGCAGCAGCACAGTATGCCTTAAATTGGTCACAGCGGAAATGTAAATTTCCAGTACGACATGATGAGGCTGTACCCTGGGCCTCTAAGACCTTCACACTTCAAAAAATATGGCCATGTTTTTAGAGGAGGAGTAAGTTTTATGAAAAACAGGAACTCCAGTCTTGCTGAGGCATTTCCATTCAATTCTCTGGTATCAGCATTGTGTTAGATGACAGAATCAGAGAGAGGGAAGGCTGGAGATGACCTCAGGAGGTCATTTAGTGCATTTGATTTGTTGGGGTTTTTTCCCCCTGAAGTGTAGTATTTTGCATTCATGTTTAGTGAACAAAAGTTTTTGATTTCTGCCCATTTTCCTACTTATCTGCATCACTTTGGCTTTTGGTAATTTTCCTTTTCTGAAGTCCTTGCAACCTTCTCACGTGGAGCCGCCTTTAAGCACAATTATGCTCTACAATCCATCATCCAATAATTAATTAAAATATTGAAAAGCATCAGGACTGTAGTAACCATTCCAGTTGCTTTTTTAGTACAAGGTTTGCAAGTTCCAAATGTAGCTGTGTGGAAATATTTCTGAAAGACAGGTTTTATGTAACAATATTGTTAGAGCGTTGCTCAGTCCCTGATAACAATCTCTGCTCGCCTTGTTCTCATTGCACAATAACCCACCTCTCTGTTCCACTCTCCATTATTTAGTGACCACATAGAGATGCTACAGGAAGCAATGCCTCTAATTTGAGCTCTGCTTTGTAGTTCAGGGTTTTGTTAACGATGCCCGCACGTTCTAAAAATTATACTCACATTGATGGTGTGACAGAAACCACACTGTGGAAACAATTCAGTACAGGTTAAATGATGGTGTGTTTGCACTCTGGACTGGAAGGAGAGTATCCACTCTCTGTACATCTACAGAATGGCCTGATGGCGAGGTGACAGTGCTGTTCTACAGAGCTGGCTCATCACCCAGGGATTACAAGAGAACATAAGTAGTCATTCATAATGGGTAAATCATGTTTGCACATAAATTTTGTTCTGGAAGTGTTTTATAAACAGAAGATGGAAACTGAAATGTACACACCACTGAGGTAGGCACCAGCACATGGAAGCACCACAGAGACATCTCAGGTGACAATCGGTCACTAGTGTTGGCTGAGGAGGAGTTGGTGACCTGAGTTTAAAAGCAGTCAGGACACTGGAGCTAAACCTCATCCTACTGCTGGGTAAAGGAGCTTGACTTCCCGTGTCATTCCAGAGACACATGCGAGAGCACTGATCAGATCTGAACAAGAGGGGAGAGGGTGATTTATTTGGTCTGCAGAGTTTCTTTCAGCATCCTTAGAGTGTTTGTTGTTTCCTGGCCACACAGTTGGAACAATCAGAAGTATTTAGCTTGCAGGGTGTTTCAAGATCACAGGCTGAAATAGGTTAAGTGCTTGGGAAATCTAAATTTTCTGTATAACTGTGCATTTTTTTCCTCAATGTAACTTTAAACAAAGCACTTGACCATTTCTATTGGTCCAGCCTGAAATTTATTTTTAGATATATGTTACAGTTAGATAATTAGTTCTTTAAACTAGTCACAATGTGCGGTGGAGTCATCCCGTGTGTAAGGTAATTGAAGAGGGAGACAGGGCATGATTATTTCTCTCTGAGCAGTCTTTAGAGAATTTTGAGTGAATTTAAAGAAAATTTTATATTTCCTAAATACTAAATATTATTCTGAGATTGTTTAATAAGTGATCCAGAAGAAAGAGGTGGGTGAGATAGTTTTCAGTTGGCTTTTGGGTAGAGAGAGCAATGTTGTTGGGGAGAGTAACCACCTGTGTCTCAATGGGAGCAGATAGTTTCCCTAAGGCTGTCTTATAAAGACTTTTTGTGGCCCATAAATAGAGATTATTTTTTTTCTTTAGGCAAAAAAAATGGCTGTTACCAAGGAGTAAAAAATCTTAATGTGAAAGAAAAAACCCCTCAGCATTAAAATAAAATGGCAGACAGACATCAAGCTGGAAGATTGATACTTACAGATGTCCCAGAATGTTTTATGTAGGTCAAGAGTTACTGTCTCTTCACCAGTCTCGTCTGAGTAAAGACTATTGTTACCTCTGCAGGAAGCTGCTTGTCTGCCCTCTTGACACTAATTTAATAAAGTTCCCTTGGTGGCACATAAATAACATTGATAAGACAAGCGGTCGCTGAAACGCTACGTGGAGCTCCCCGTGTGTTTGTAGGGCTGGCTAAGAGGAGTTACAGAAACTGCACTCTGAGTTCTGTCAGAAGAGAGAGAAAAAGGTTCTGAAAACGTGCAATTAGAGCTTTAATAGCACAGGAGTAGAACTCATGAAGTTAAAGATTGAGAACAAGAGGAACTAGAAGAACAAAATAAGAAAAATTAAGATATGGTAGGGACCAGGGAGCTGGTCTTACAACACAGATGAATTGTGTTTTCTTTATTTTTTTTTCTTTACAACATAGATTTTTGAATACACAGCACTGGTTGTATTATCTTGCTCAGGGTAGTTGCGGGTTGTTGGGGTTTTTTAACATTTAAATTACTATTATTAATGGCTTGCGCAATGGTCCTGTCAAGATTACGGGCTTTCTGGGTTGAAGTTCAAGTTCAAACCTTGAACTGCAGTTATCTAAAGATAATATAAAGAGCTCAGAAAGTTTTTTGGAGTATAAGAGTTAAATAGAAGTTCTGAAATTAAAAATCCCCTAATATTTTTCTCAAGAATTAACTAGAGCTTCTGGCCAGAATCCGAGGGGATGGTTATGTTATATATACCTAACTTTCCCTTATAGTTTCAACTTAATCTGATGTTTTGTCTCACTTGATGTAAACTGTTACGCAGTGTCTTGGTGTTTCATGCTGGAAGCAGGTGCATTTTAGCACTTTATGAATATATTTATGTAAATTGCTAAACACACTAGAGTAATTTGGAATAAAAATCAGCCTAGAAAAGCAGTATGTTACTACTTGTAAGGCATTGTGTATACATGCCAGCTGTGGGGCTGCTTATCATGTCTATCATGGGGTTACAGCCTGATGAAACAGGACTGAGCCCTGTTGTCCCATCCATCCTGAGTCATATTCGTAGCTCGTACTTGTGGCATCGATTACTTACGAAGCAACTCCACATCTTCAAAATGCTGAACAAACATTAACAAATAGTTCTGGCTGAGGTTTGGTGAGTCATGGTTTGTACTGACTGAAACTCATATGGTGTCAATAACAGCAATAATAAACAAGTGAGGAGTGAGTGACTTTGAAATGTGTAGGAAAATCCTGCACACTAAGCTGTGGAAGGACGATCCTGCATTTTTTTTATCACTTGCTGTACTTGGCAAACTGCAATTTAAGTCCAAGACTTAATAAAACTGCATTTAGCAGGACTGAAGTGTATCATTCCACTTTTGTATCATTTTCCCCTGGCATTAATTCTCTTATGTAGATTATGCTTCATATATTCAGGTGTGCTAGTGCAATCATACAGGAACACAGCAGCCAGGCTTCTTGCATGGTGAGAGCTGGTGGGCTGTTATCACTTTGGGAGAGTAAATCACCCTTCCTTGTCTTCGCTTTCCTCTGCTTAGATACCAGCTCTTAAAGACATGGGCAGTCTGTTAACACATGTCTAGTTTTCACTATTCAGTGATCCCTAAAGCTGAAACTCTCAGTGCCACTTGTTAATATAAAACTGCCAGTACTGATACTTGTTCTTCAGGCGAGAGCAAGCTTTGGGGGGAAGCCTCAGCAGTTACGTTCAGTATTAGTCTGGCGGTAGTGATATGAGGTGGCAGTCCTTCAGCCTGGCTGATCCAGCTCGAAAGCCCGTGCAGCCTCCGTGAGGTGAGAGCAAGCAGTAATTTCTGTGAAATGACGGGCACTGGTTGTGAACCAGGGAAAACCAGCTTCCCATGGATGGGAACACAGCAGACATCAGGGCTTCCAGCCAGGCTGAATGTGCCTTGAGTAACGACTCTAAAACGTGCAACCCAAATCCTCACTTGAATGCACTAACTGCAGACAAAGGTGATATTCTTGAGGCTGCTCTCTTTAAAAAAAGAACTCTGGAAAATGGGAAGATCCTTAAAACAGTCAGTGGCCCAGTCTCGAGGGACTGATCATAGGGCACATGTACTTTTCCTAAAATTAGAAATTCTGGAGGTTGTAATGAGCTTTAAAAGGCCTAATGCTAATGCTTACGAGTGTGCCAGAGAGAAAACATTCTTAATCAGTTTTAGCTGTAGCATTTAGGAGAAAAACCAAAATGATAAAAACACCTGAAAAGAAGAGAGTTAAAGTGAATATTGAAAGATTGTGTTATTTTTATTTGAGTAGAAAGTTGATAGATTTTATACAAATTTCCTAGTGATTAGTTAAGGAGACATCTCCGTGTGACTGATATCTGAAAAGCAAACATCTTGTGTTGAAGTTTTGAAGCACTGTGTCGCTCTGCAGGTGTCCCACAGTCTTACTCAGAATAAAAAAGAAAGGCTAACAGAGGTTGTATCTCCATCTACGTTTTGTAACCAACCCTTCCAGCCAGTTTGATTTTACACTTCCTCTTGCTAATGAAGACACTGGTTTTTGTATGGTTTGTGCTCTCCTTGCACGAGCTCGGGACTGCAAGGTTAGTGTCTGTTGCTGTGCTTGCTTCCACTGACCGCAACTGGTGCCCAAGATGCAAAGAGCAAGAACAACAGAAAAAAACAAAACCAGTTTACATCAGATCTCCAAACTGTTTCCTTCCAGTTAGTGTGGCAAACTCCAGAGATTAAACCATTCATCTCTCCCTTTTTTGTTTTCTTTTTTTTTTTTTTTCCTTTTCACCTACGTGTTGTGTGTTTTGTTTGTTGTTTTGTTTGTTTTTTTTTCTCTTCACATTTTCCAAACTAGCAAGCATGGAGGCAAGGCACATCAAGGCAGAGATGGGGAGTGAAAGAGCCCTTGTGCTGGACAGGCTAGCGAGCAACGTGGCAAAGCGAAAAAGCTCAATGCCTCAGAAATTTATTGGTAAGAACAAAAAACCTTTTCATGTGCAACAGTTAAATATGTGCAAGTTGGTAACCTATAGTACAATGCCTCTGCTTATTTTAAATATCCTTCTCAAGCTTATAATCTAATCTAATGCAAAATAATATAAATATAAAGTAACTTTGATTGTTCTGATGTGTTTTTAGTGACTTGCTGTAGGGTTTTGATAAAAATAAAAAAGAATATATTCTGTTAGATACTTAAACTGGATGGAAGCTACTCTTGTGCTTTGTGTCTATTTGTGTAGGCAATTTATAAATCTATTTTGTGAGCTTCCACGGGTTGTTTTCTGTACCTGGGCATTGGAAATGTTCTCTGCTAGGTTCTTCACAGGAAAACAACAGGAAGGTTTAATGCTGTTAAGAGCTGAGTGCTCTTTGTAGTCAGCAGGAGCTGAAGATACTTGTAGGATGCATCTGTGGAATAAGGCCTAAAGTCAAAGA